CACAGTGGGTAGGTGTTTGCCTTGCATGCGGCCGACCTGGGTAGGATCCCCAGCATCCCATATAGTCCCCTGAGCACCGCCAGGAGTAACCCCTGAGCATCGATGGGTGTGCCACCCCACCCCATAAAAAAAAAGCTTAAAAAAACAAAGCTCAAAAGAAGCCTAATTTACCTGCACGTTCGTAGAGGTCATTAGAATCTTTGGGGTTCCTGTTGCACTTCGTCAATTTCTCTGATTGTAACACTTACCACATCCCTGTAGCTGTTAATTCCTTTGTGGTCCCTCCTCTATGGGCTCTGGACATGATGTTCGGCAATTCTGTCTTGTTCGTTTTTGTTCCCCAGGTTTGGAAGTCTCAATAAGCATTCACTGAGTAAATGAGGGGGAGAAAGAATTGTGCAGGGCAGTGGCAAAGGCACTGCACAGACTGAGACGCTGGGTGGGGGCTTTAGGGGGTGGGGGTGGGGCTCTCATCCTCGCTCTGCTACTAAGTGGCTCTGTGAACTCCTCAGTGCTCTGGATCTCAATTTCCTCATCTGTAAACCGAGAATAAAAACATAAACCTGGGTGCTGGAGAGACAGCACAGCGGGTAAGGAGCTTGCTTTGAACACGGCCAACCCAGGTTGGAGCCCTGGCACCCAAGACGATCCTGGGAGCACCTCTAGGAGTGAGTCTTGAGTACAGAGATAGTGTAAGCCCTCAGCCCTGCGGGCTGTTGCCCCTAAACAAATAAACAAACATATCCTGTGCATGTGTGTGTTTGTAAGATCTCCTTCTCGGTGGTGATGGAGGTTACGTGAGGGAGCAGAGATCAGTAGCAACCTTCCACTTGGGCCTGTTTGGAGGGAAAGTCACAACAGTAGCAGACGCGACATTCACACCAGTATCTAGAGTATTTTCTGAGAACACCATATATTAAGTGCATTTATTTAGCTGCCGGACACGGCCTTACAACAAGACAAGTGGCCAAGTAAAGATGACGAAAGAGGGGGCAAAAAGGATGTCAGGGATCCTTCCCCAAAGGCGAAGGCAGTACTTGTACTGAAGTGAATGGCCTTAAAAAAATAATAAAAGTATGTTTCCATTTTACAAGACTTAATATATATATATATTGTGTGCTCAGATGGCACCTTTAATCACTGAAGAACTTTTGGCTGAATTCCAGGCTGATTCTGCTGGCACAGAGAGCTCTGAGATCATACCCTATATTCAGTGCACAGAAGAAATATTTTATCCATTTCTGAAATAAGAGGGGGAAATGGCGCATATTTCCACTGCTTCATAGCGAGATCATACCAGGGTGAGAAGTAAAGGACATGCCACCTATTTGGGAGTTCCAGAAAGGGACTGCTAGATCTAAGTCTTTAAGTGGCTCTCTCCTCCCCATTCTCTGAGTGTTTCACAATAAATGAAGCATACTGCATAAATATGAAGGCAGACTCTTATTTCACAGATATATAAATGAAGGCAGATTTGTGATTTACCTAAGACTATTTTAAATTTACAAAAGAAAGGGGACAGGCAAAGGGGGGGGGGGGAACAGCAAATTCCAAAGTAGCAGGTTGTGACCCAGGAGTCTGAGCTGCTAGAGCTGAATTATCCACACCCAGGCCAAATATAATTCTCTGAAATGGAAATGGTCCAGGACACCAGAGTTAACATTCTGCCTCTGCCAAAGAGCCCGAGGCGGTTTGGTGACAAGCAGTCAGAACTGTTTCTATTCCTCCACTGGAAGCAAGACCAGTAGTGCGTGCTAGATGCTTCCCATCACGGCAGGGCACCGGTTCAAGCCCATCCAAGGCAAGTCCGCTCTCCTTTGAGTCACTGTTACCTTACATCACTATTGCTTTTCGGAGATCTCCCATTCAGAGGTTTATTTAAGTGGACAGTCGGGTCATATAATTCGAGGTGGCAGGAGTGAATCACAGCTTTACTCCAAGCGCCAGTCTTGAGCGTTAGATTATATGCTGTGTTGCTTCCTCCATGACATCTCCCCAAAGCCTGAGCTGTGGGAAAGGCCTGGGTGATTGCTTTGTGTAGTGGAAACTGAAACTTCACCATTAAATGATGAAAAGTGGTCCAGGAGAAAGCTGCCGTGGAAATCTGAAAGCCATTATCTTTTCCACACTTCCTCTCTTCATCCATCCTCATTTCATTTGGAAACACACAAGGACACCTGTGAACAAAAATAAACCACTTGCCCTTGACAGATTGTTCTGCCTTGAGTGATCAAATGTGAGTACTTCTGGCTCCCAGATATGTTGAGGTAAAGAGACTGTGGGGAGCTAGCCATAGTCAGAGCTGATTTCTAGCCTTTCTGTGCAGAGGAATACAGTTCAGGATATTCCTGTTCGAGCCACAAGTTCCAAAGCTGATGCGACTTCTGAATCACACTTGGACTTCAGAAATGTAGGCAAGAATTCACATTCGAACTCTGATGTGTATTCTTAGCTCAGGCCTATTCATTCATTCTCACTGACGCGTTTTAACTCATGACTCGCTCAGTCCACACACACATTTCAACATCTGTTACTGGGAAGTGGCTCCACTCACTGACAGCACCTTTAAGGAAGGCAGAGCCACTCTCTGAGGTCGAGGGTGAAACGTGGCAACTCTTCCACAGGCCCTGATCAATACTGCAGAACCAGTTCAGGGGAGGGTTGGCTTAAATCAGGTTGTCAACCCCAACACAATGGGCTTTGTTACTCCTGTGTAAAGAAAGAGGAAGTGGGGCAAGTTTTGGCCTCATCAGATTGTAGGGTATGCAGGGTGTCCAGTCCAGCCACAACTGTCACGAGCCACGAGTCTGCTATTTAGCTACTTAGTCCCACAGCAAACTGATCAGTCCTCCCCTCAGTCTGCTTAAAAACAAGGCAAATAGATATTCTGCATCCACTTTTCAGCAGCAGGAGGAGGGGAGAGGGACTCGATGGACAGAATTCTGGGGCCCTCTCGGTGCGGGATTCTAGCTCTTGCGATTCAGTGTAGAAATCACAGACTAATTGTAACTGGCAGGGCGTCTTCTTTTCTGAGTTTCGAGGACCCAGCCCCAGGGCCCGGCTGCAGCGTCCCAGTATCCGTTCCAAGTGCGGGGAGTTCTCCCTGGGCTCAAAGGTCCTCGGGGAGAGGCCCGCGCAGACGTGGGGGGCACGGACCACCTGAGAGATGCCCGAAGAAGCGCCCAACTAACTGTTCCAGGGGAGCAGCCGGGACTGGGCTCAGACACCCAGCGGGAGGGTGCAGGGGGCCCCGGGCCCCGCTCGCACGGGGCGGGACTGCCCTGCAAGGGGCTGGGGACCCTCTGCTTCGGCGGGCGACTTCGCACGGGAGAGAGGAGGGTGGTCCCGGCGCGGTGGAGCGTCCGCGGGTCGGGACTGTGCCTGGGGGCCCCTCACGACCCCGAGGACCGCGCGTCCCGCCAGGTGACAGCGCGCGCCCCTCCCCCGCGGGCTGTCTCCGGGCAGAGCCGGTGCTCGGCGCCGGCCGCTCCTCCCCGCCAGCCCGGGCGGACCGAGCCCCCGCGGGAGCCCCGCCTGTCTCCGGGCAGCCCGCGCCCCCGAGCGCTCGCCCAGCCTGCCAGCGACGGCCGCTGGCGCTCGCCCGCCCGCCCGCTCCCTTTCTTCTTCCCCCTCGTCTTCCCTCGCCCCCGTCTGCCTTTGTCCCGCTTGGTAACGGGCGCCGGCCAATCGCCGCCTCCCCGGCCGGCGCCGGCCGCCTCCCGATTGGCTGGCGGCGCGCGCAGCCGCTCCCGCTCCTCGCCGGGCGCCGGGCAGACAAAAGACGCAGGCCCGGGCCCGGCGACCGGCTCGGCCAATCGCAGGCGCCCGTGCGAGCCCTCGCCCCGCCCCGCCCCGCCCCGCCCCGCCCCGCGCGCTCCTGGCGGGCGGCCGGCGCCCGGGACGTACCATCGGGCCGGGCCGCGGGGGTGCGGGCAGAGCGAGGCCGGCCGGGGACGCGGGCGAGGGCCGGGCAGCGGCGGGGAGGGCCGCGGGCCGAGGCGCGGGGCCGTCCCCCCGCCCCTCTGCGCGGGCCCGGGCTGGACGTGCGGGGCGCGGGCGCGGGGGGCGCGGCAGGGGCGCTGGCGGCGGCGGCCGGACCCCCGCCTGCGGGCACGGTTGGGCGGCGCCTCGGCGGGGGAGCGCGGGGCGGGGGCGGGTCCCCCTCCGCGCCGTTAAAATGAAACTCTAGTGGCCGGAGCCCGGGCAGAGCGCGAGGGCTGGCGGCGGCGGCGGCGGGGGAGGGGGCGGGCGGGCTCGCGGCTGCCCGGCGGGAGCGCCCGGCCGAGCCGAGCTGCTCGGGCTTCCGATCGGCCCCCGGCCCCGAGGTGGCTGCAGCTTCGCTTCCGAAGCCGGCGGGGACGGACCCCAGTCCTGGCGCCCCCCACCCCCGAGGGGCTCGATCTGCGCTGCAGACCAGTGGGACCCCGAAACTTGAACGCAGTGCCCCCTCCCCCCCTTTTTTTCTTTTTATGTCTTTCTTTGTCACTTCCATCACCTTTCTCCCCACGCTCTTTTCTTCTTCTTTTTTTTTTTCTCCCTTTTTCCTCCTCGTTCTTCCTCCCTCCCTGGAAGGGCACGAAAGTGGCTTCCGCGGAAAGCGCTGGCGGCGGTGGGAGCTTTTCCCGTTGCAGCGCGACTGTGCAGAAGGGTTTTGGGGGAAACCGCTTTTTTTTTTTTTTAAACACCTCTGCCCCCCCCAGAGGTGCCGCTCTGATGAAGAGAGCCCGTCCGCTGAGAGTGCGGGGGGCGTTTTGCTGGGTGCCGTAGGGGAGTCGGGGACCCCCCACCCCCACTCCCACCCCTCCCGGTCCCCGTCCCCGTCCTGCTAGTTGGCCGGACCCGTCCCGGTCGCTGGAAGCCCCAAGCCCAGGTTCCGTGCAGGACTTCTCCAGAGCTGTCTGGTTTTCAGATTTTTAAAAAGTATCCGGTAGAGAGAAACAAAGAGATTCTATGTATCCATTCCCCTCGGTGGTTTCTATGTATCTCCCGACGAGCTGCCCCTGACAGACCGCGCGATGTACAATACGGTGTGGAGCATGGACCGCGATGACGCAGACTGGAGGGAGGTGATGATGCCCTATTCGACAGAACTGATATTTTATATTGAAATGGATCCTCCAGGTACTTGGGAGCGCGAGAGCGGATCTGGTGGCTGGGTCGGATCCCCCGCGTCGGCGAGCGGGACCTTTCGGTGGTGATGCTGGTCGGGCTGCAGGATCCCTGAGCGCGCTCGGTGGAGGATCCAGGGGCAGAGCTGCCGGCAGAGCTGCAGTTCCAACTGCGGCTGGTTTCGGCGTTTCAAGTTTGCAGTGAGGACCCCGATGCTATTGTCCTGCGAGGGTGGGGGTGGGGGTCGGGGGGTGGCGTGGGAGTGGGAGCAGAGGGACCGTTTCTTTGGACTTCTCCGCCTTGGCGTGTCGGTTCGGGTTTTTTTTTTTTTTTGTCGTGCCTTCATCCACCCCTCACCCCCCTCTTTTTTTTTTTTTTTCTTTTTTCTTTTTCAATGAAAGATTCTCGTACCTGCGAAAGGATGCTTTCTGTCCCGGTCTTGAAGCCAGCCTTTCCCTTGGGGGGCATCCTTTAAAAGCTTGTCATTTCATGCGTGTGTCTCGTTGGGTTCGTGGTGTTTCACCTTCGTTAACTTCTGAAACTGGGTTGCCTGCATGATTATTCATGTTGAGACTCCCCTTTTTTTCCTCTCTATGAAAACCAAATGCCGGTTAGTGATTTTTTTTTTTTTTTTCTCCCAGGGACTGGGCGTTCTGATTCAGTCCTGGCCCGAGTCTGAGGTTTTTCTTTGCAGAATCTAATCGCTCAGAGAGATAGACGGGCAGGATTTTTATTGCTCTTTCATTTACCGGGATTTGACTTAATTTATGGGATGGGGTTTAAAATCACTTCGATTACTAAGAAAAAAAAAGAGAAGGAACCTTTTGTGTGTCTTGCGTGAATCAATGTGATAGAGACATATATGTGATACGTTGGCTACACGTAATGTAAAGTGTGCATGTATTTTTACTTTCGTGCTTTGTCTGAGACCTTTATCTGGTAGGAAGGGAAAATGGAAAAGTTGGGTAATTTTTTTCTTTAAAGTCAGCCTCATTTTATGATTATTAGCTGTCAGATTTTCAAACGCTGTTTGTAATTAGAGACAGTGCTTTATGTAATGATTTTGAGTAAGGAGAGGGCCTTTGTGACTCCTTATTTTTGTAAAGGGTGAACTGTTTATTTGAAAAAAAATGTCTTAGCTAAGCCTACAGAAAACATTGTGTGTCATTGGGGAATCTCAATTATGAAAAGACTGTATTTTTGGAACCATTTGAAAGGATTTGAGTCCACGCAAGTGTAATGAAGTATTGCTGTCTGATAGAATGCATGTAGAATTATTTTCTATGTCCTTGTGGACAGTGAATTACTCTTTGTGTTTTTTTTTAATTAGTCATAGTGCTAAATGACACTCGATTTAAAAATTAATACTAAAATTGAGCAAACCCTTTCAGCCTTAATGATAGCTTTAGATTTTTCCTTTTCCCTTCGCTTTTTGGAATCTCCTTTATTTGCTGTGACTGTAATTCAGAAACAGCTTTTCAGTGTTTCGCAAAGTTTGTAAGATCTGCCACCCATCTATTGTGTGTGTTTCCCTCTTTGTTTCCCCCTGATGGTTAAGCATCAAATTTATGAGAAGCATTTGTCATTTATGTAAATGGAAATTTAATACACCGTTCGTGCCTCTCCTGTAAAAAGGAAGGTGAATAATTCTAGATTTTTCTTACTCTAGCAATTATATATTTACACTACCTTAGCTCATACTGTATCATATAGTGTCTTGCCTTGTAGACATACAAAGGGAATTTGTTGGGCGGAGAGATGAGTGGGGAGGAGGGGAGAGAATGATGAAGGCGCTGGTGTTCGAGATAGATGGGCCTAGTGAAGAGATTGGCCAAGTTGAGTTGAGTTACCCAAAACTGATTTTAAGAAAAGTTGGTGTTAATATGTATGTGGTGATGTGGGTCTTGTAAGTTTGTATGGAAAAATGTGATCCAAACTTTGGGTCTCCCATGGACATAAACTTTTTTAGGTTTAAAATGCTCGTCCTCGAATGAAATTTTGAATGTTTGGATTCTTGTCAGAATATTGAAAATATGTCTGTGCTATGCTTTATTATCCATTTTTCAGCCTTTGTTTAGATTCTAGTTATTCCCTAAAATGCTTTTAAAAAATGAGTAGGCTGGATTGCTGGCTAATTGAATTTTAGGTGAGTGGATGTTAGTGAAAGCAATGTAAAAAGCCAGTTTTGTTTTGTATGATAAATTATGGTTTTGAAATATTTAAAACGAGGTAAATCGAGGCCAGAGAGCTAGTGCAGTGGGTAAGGCATATGGTTCCCTGGGCACCAGGACAGAAGTGGTGCCCAAGCCCAGAGTGAAGAGCACCACTGAGTATGACCCCCAAACCGAAAACCCAAACGGAACAAAAAGCTGTTAGCTCAGACTGCTGGTGAAGAAGTTGCAACGTGTCTTGTATTTGTCTCTTTCGCGTTGAGCTCTTGCTGTTTTCTTCCTGGTTTGATGTGGTCAGGATGTTAACTTACCTATTCTCCCATTTCTGCTCTGTCAGATCCAAAGTATTATTATTGTTGTTGTTGGTTTTGGGCTATACCCGGCAATCCTCAGGGGTTACTTCTGGCTCTGCACTCTGGAATTACTCTGGTGGTGCTGGGAGGGGTGGGACCATAAGGGAAGCTGGGGACCGTACCCAGTTCGCTCTCGTGCAAAGCGAGCTTTCTACCCGATGTATTCTCGCTCACCCCCCCAAAGTATTATTAAAGTATCTTAGGAGGTTTTACCTTCAATAGTAAATCTTCCAGTGACTTTAAAGAACTTCCTATGACTTTATTATTATTATTTATTTTTTGGTTTTTTCTTTGGGTCCCACCTGGCGATGCTCAGGGCTTCCTCCTGGCTCTGCAGTCAGGAATCACTCCTCGCGGTGCTTGGGGGACCCTATGGGATGCTGGGAATCGAACCTGGGTCGGCCCCATGCAAGGCAAACGCCCTACCCTCTGTGCAATTGCTCCAGCTCCCTATGACTTTAAAGACCCTGATTTTTCACTTGCCTTGTACTCAGCCTACCTGGTCTCGATTACTGGCACCATATACCACATCATCCCTGAGCTCTGTCCGCCCTGATCCTTGAACACAGAGTCAGGACTAAGTCATGAGCATTCGCTGGTGGGTGTGGCCCCCAAACAAAACAAAGCAAAACAGAAAAGAAAGAGCAACCCTATTTCCAGTTTACGGAAAACAGGAAACAATAACTCATCCTACTTATCGTATCGTTTATAAGCCTGTTTTTGCTTTCAACTTAATTTTCCTTTCTCCTTTTGGAGCCCATCACAAGTTCTACGTGCTTTCTGTTCCTTGAAAGTATGCTTTTTCCTCTTCTTGGACTGTCTTTCACTTTGATAGTACCCACTGTACTATCTCTTCGGCCCCATTTCACTTGTTTCAATGGTGTATACTTAGGACCCAGATTATATGCCTTCTTGGTCCTCGACCATTAGAGTAGTTCCTCCTTCTAAGCCTTCCATCTAGAGTGGCTTATGCACTTAATTATATATATATATATATATATATATATATATATGTATGTGTATATGTCCCAATGGAATTGAATTTTCTCCCCACCTATTATGAGCATCTTCACTTGGTCAGGGTCTTGCAGATAACAGACAATTTAATTTCAGGTACTAAATACCTGAGTTATTTTAAATACTGGTCACCTCGTTCCATGGTTACTCTTTGGTCTATGGCAGAATAACTTTGTTTTTTTTTGGGGGGGCCAACACCCTGTGATTGATGCTTTAGGGTTTCATTCAGGAACTACTCCTGGTGGTATTCTAAGGACCATATGGAATGTAGGGAATTGAATGTGGGTCAGCTGCATGCAAGGCAAGCACCCTGGCAGCTGTACTATCTCCCAAACCCCAGAATGGTGTAATCTTTTTATGTTACTCAGAAGCAGTAGAACTAAACTGTTTGATGAAATAGATAGTTTCATATTTGGAAATTTTAAGATTGTGGTACTGAGAACTAATTAATTATCAACTTGATTAGTCCTGCTGTGCTTTGGGAGTTGGGATGATTCCTAGCAGAACAGTTGTTGGATAGTTACTCTGGAAAAGAACTGTGTGCTGAACGTAGATAAAGGAACAGACATGACAACCTCTCAGTACCTGTTCTGCAAACCGTAATGCCCAGAAGGAGAGAGGGAGAGAAAGAAGATAAATGCAGGGTGTGGGGGTGGTGGGAAGTACACAGTGGTGGACGGATGGGTGTAGGGACGTCGTGTGACTGAAACTCAACCATGAATAGCTTCGTAACTGTATATGTCACAGTGATTCAACTAAAAAAATTAAAAAAACAAAACAAAACAAAAAACAGTTGTTGGAGAGGCCTTTCTAGATTTCCTGATTTTGGTATAGAAACTCGGGGGTTATGTAAGTGATCGTAAGTTTATGCTGAGTGCTGGATAAATAGTCATAGTGATCTGTTAGCTCACGTTTTAGTTTTGACATTGTTATTTTGAGAAAATGTAATTATTGAAAAAATGGATATAATTATTTTTAAAAGATGGAAGCTTTTTTGTTCTTCCCAAGACTCGTGTTTGGAACTATTTTTAGAGTCGCCTTCAGGTAGTAATTAGAAAATTAAAACTTTACATTTTCTAGCCAAAAAGTAAAGGATGGAAGAGTTGTTCTCAATATTTTAATTCCTCCAAATTGTTATCCTTTTTTTGTTTTGTTTTGGGGCCACATCCAGTGATGGTCGGGGTTAACGCCACACTCAGGAATCATTCCTGGTCATGCTTGGGGGGATGCCAGGGATTGAACCTGGGTGAGCTGTGTGCAAGGCTAGTTCCTTACCCGCTGTACTCTCTCTGGCCCCGGGGACCTTTTTGCATTCTTTCCTTCCTTTTATATTCTTAGAACTTGAGAATTCAAAAGTGCTAATGTTTAAGTGGGTTAGATCTTGATATTTACTATAGGTATTTAAAACAACGTGAGAAATTAAAAATACTTCATTAAAAATAGTAAAACATCTATTTTTGTGTGTGTGTGG